TCTTAAAATTTTTTTTTATTATTATTTTACATGCCAATATGAATATGTTATTACTAGATAATGTTTAAAAACATGTTTAATGATCATTAAATATTCGACTCAATTAAAAATAAATCAAATATAAAAAGAAAACTTTTGTTTATAATTAGACCTGTTAAAATATGATTATTTTTTATTCATAATAAACCCATAACCGCTTATTACACTGCCTTACTGCTGCATAATGTGATGGGAACTCATAAGTCAAGGGTTAGGTATGTTCTAATCTTTATATTTAGTTCAGTAGGGTTTGTTTATTATTTGATTTTTGAAGTTTTATGGTTGCTGTATGTATTATGATTTTTTGTGTCAAACAGATATTTTAGTAGTTTTCATGGGAACTTGGGAGGGATTCGGTGCTATACGGAAATCTTGTATTAAATTATATGTAATGAGAAAGTTCTCTATACATACCGCATTATCTTTGCATTCAGTACGTAGTTTAAACATGAGCAGTCAGTCAACGATGACTTTAATTAATTAAAGTATTAAAAGCGGTAATGAATCAATGGTATTGTACATATTTATTATCACGACATGCCGCATGATTAGTGATATTAATTAATTTTGATGTACTCAATTTTAATATAAAGAGTTTATATATAATTGTGATCGAATGAGTGGTGGTGCCTTCCTTCATTTTGCCAACACTTCAACTGATTACATATTCTTCCTGCTATTTGTCCTTCATAAGTCCAGGGCATGTGTATGGATTCACTCATTGTTTTTAAGAATTGGAACTGCTGTGCTGTATATATAGAAACTCGCCTAATTTATTAGTTTTAGCTAGTTCAGCTTGCTATTGTTTATTATGCTTATGTAAGAATTATGTTTACTGAATTCGAGACTGTCCGTGAATCACTAAATTACATAAATACTGAGGGAGAAAAAAATAATAATGAACAGTGTTGATCCTCATAAAATGTTTCCCATATTTATAGAATGGGTAATGAAATGATGATATTACATATTTTTTCCCATTTGGAGATGGTCTTTATTGCGATATTTATGGTATTTTATAAGTGTGGCGTATCTTTCGATTGCGTTATGGTTCGGCAAGCTAAGTTTAGTTGATGCTCAATGGGGTCAGCTTGGCCGGCTAAACTTGGTCGGTAGGGTTTGGTCGAATGATCCAACCTGATTGATTATATTTGATCTCTAATGAAGAGTACTCTTTGGGTTTTCGTTGGGCGGTCGAACATATTTATTGAATTAGCTCTTCCGTTGGGGTCGACTCCACTTTGGGATAGGTATCACATCTAGGGGTGTAAACGAGCCGAATACGAGCGAGCCCAGACCACGCTCGTGTTCTGCTCGTTTGCTTAGCGAGCCGAACACAAATCGTTCACAAACAAAAAGTCATTTTGACAACCCACCTAATCACCTAGTCATAAGATGTTAAGGAATGGGACAAGATTTAAAACATCATTTGAATCTGATTTAATACTTTTTATTATATTTTCTTCATTAATACTTTTAATTAATTATAAATCTTTGTAGCCTTGCAGTCAATTAAATTTTAAAAAATACTACTCATAATATATATATAT